TGATACATAAATAATAATCCATTACAAAGAAAAGAGAGATTGGGACACATAGTAGTATAAAAAGAGACATAACACATATACAAGACAAACACGCAGGGTACACCATTAAATACACGAACATGCAAATAAAATAGTATACAGTATCGAAATGGGAAAATATATTGCATGACACTAGACCACACAGCTAAACAAGGGGTATTTAACACACTGCCTTTATCATCAAGTGAGTTACTGATTGAAATATATATGGTACCTCAATTGATTATTTCAACAGAATTTGTGGAACATATTTGATATCTTTTATGTATGTTAAGAGGGAAAACTTTGAACTTCATTAGAAATTCAACTAGTTTTTCCTAATCAAGAAAATGTAGTTTATAAATGAATGTAAGGTGCCATCGGGTGACTTGAGTCAGTAAGGATTCATGCTTGAATCTGAGTGCAGTGTTTCCAGTCAATGATGAGTCACCCAGGGATATAATGGGTGAAGCCTCAATACCCCTGGCTTACCTGTTGAAGGCTGTACTGTATTGTACATCTACTACAGCAGCCAGACTGAATGTATGACAACGAATAGAAAAAGAGTCTGTAATTTTCTCTCAATTTCATCTGTTCTGACATTATTATGAGAAAAGACTTGAGAGAAAGTGAAAACAAAGATGAGCAGATTAAAACAAAGCAAAAGGAAAGAATAAAACAATATATTCACTAATGCACAGGTAGAGGACACGGCAGAAGCTACAGTTGGGCCAGAAGTACTATGAAGTTCCCTGAATAAGCTCACAAAACATAAACACTGTACAAATACAAACTAATTAAAGTAGTATGACTCAAAAACTATTAATGTAAAAGTTTCATGTTGTAAATTGAAAAAAAAAGAAAAAAAGATTACTGTACAGATATAAAAAATCACGATAAATAAAGCAGATACAGTATACACCCATCAGACCTTCAATTCAGGGAACCCAAAACTTCCATATATACTGTACTGGGAGATGAGACAAACAAAATTAACATTGGTATGAAAAGGCAAAACATGGACTAGTGTACAGTACTAATATAACCACCACATACTAGAGCAATGATTATAACACAAGGCAATACAGATAGTGTAGTAGATTCTACTGACAGTTCCTACACAAGCAAAGAGCAAACACACATTATGTATTAATTCATACACAATACCGAACATATTGAAACAGACTGAAACATACGTACACAGCATGTAAGAGACTGCTAATAACAAGATAATGAAATAGGACAAACTCATACACAGCACATAACAAAGCAGTACTTAGATAACAAAGACATTAAACACAGCTCACACATAACAGCACTTTCAACATATTGTGTCACAGCAGAACTTCACAAAAATCCTGTAATATTGGTCCTTGAACATAGTTACTCAAAAATTTATTCAGTTCTTCTGATGCAGTATTTGAAATTAAAAACTTTTTTCGCTGAAATTAATATTGTACATTAACATTAAAAACACCATTTTTTTGTAAATACTGTACCAAAACAGGTACTAAACAATATTAAAATAATCATTTTTTATATAACATTACCATACAGTATTTTGAATATTTAGATTTCTCAGATTCTAAGGATCTAAGCAAACCAGTTCAAAAATAGTGAGGCATCACAATGGTGTATATAAATATCCACATTCCTTTGCAAAAATTTTAAACTAATCAATTGTTATGGTAGTTATTAATTTAGTAACTCTTATGATATGCTGTGACAGAAAATGTAAAATTACTTTGTGTCATGACCTTTCAAGAGAAGCATTTACAGTTCACATCTGCAGATCATCGAGTACAGCACTTCACTGTCCCCTGCTATACCAAAGGGTAGCCGTTGTCATTGATGGTAAGTCTTTCCTAACGAGCAACCATAACAGGCTGACCTCTGGGACTACAGGGGGTCATAACCTATAGGGTAAGGCACCTGCTGGGTCAACTAATGAGGACAACCAAGAGGAAATTACTAATACAATCAGGGACTGCTTCACTGATGGTCAGTAGTCTGACAAGTCAGTAACAAAGGGTCTATAAATATCTTTCAAAATGAAATTTTGATCCTGAAATCCCGTATTATTGTCGAACACAAAACAGAAACAATTATACTGTCACCAAGTTTAAAGGTTGAAAACCCAAGGTCCTAAGACCTCTCTCGACCACTCACTTTTTCATTTCCCACTACAGTTTCACAAGGGGTACCTGGTAAATGCCTTCACTGAGCCTATAAAGGTACAACTGCCCCCTCCCCCATTTACCAAACTGAAGACAGATAGTGCATCACACATTAACCTAGAGCAGTCAGGTTTCTCAACCTAAGAACTACTGGAGACATAACCAAAGATCACCGAATAATCCCCAACCCGGGAAGGATCATCTCTTCCTCTATGGTAGCTTCAAGAATAATTAATCTACCAGGAGGTCCTTTTCCTCTCTGGTTCCTATGAAAGGAATGAAGAACCAATTGAGATGAAGAAACTAAATATTTGACCTCTGGTAAAATTTATAATTTGGAGTTAGTTCATTTTACTACCACACCTCTCTGTTAAGCACTGTAGTGCGGTGTCCTTCGTAACTCAATTATTTTTTAAACTCTGGGCATAAGAGTTCTGAGGCCATTTCTCTAACTGAACTGCCCATGATCAAACAGGGTCACAGGCACCAGGTTCATGTATGGTATTTTATCCTCTTCGCCTCTGGCCAAAGGAAAACCACTGGGAAGGTGAACTGCCACTCTAGCCTTGAAAAAAACCCATGGCCAGTTGGCATTAACCCCTCCAGCTGAAACCTGAGTCCACCAAAGAGAGTTAACATAAGCTTCAAAAAGCTTGCCTTAGTAAAAGCCTAATCAACAAATCTCAATAGAGAGGAGAGCAGTAGTCACGCTAGAGACTTTCTCTGCCGTGAAGTAACTAATGAGCTAGAATCTTGAAAGAAATGGGTAAACATATGAGAGGGATGTCAACACCTCTGTGATATGCCTCATCAGTAGAGTGCAACATCTATGCCAGATCCCTTGAAGGCTTCCTCAATGACCTACTGATGAAAAGAGGATGCAGTAAACTCTCAAAAGAGAACATCCTATGTAGATCAAATTACCACAAGGCGGGAGACCTTATGTTTCCCCAATTGACATTCACAACAGGAGTTATCCTGGAGTCTTGTAATGAGTGCTGCCTAAATATTCACTTCCTGGTCTGAAGGCATATTACAGGGTTGAGATGGCCTGGCTAACCAACACACCAGTTTACACTCTGGCTATGTCAATAAAGAGTGTAACCTGCACTACCAAAATGAAGATAATTAAACACAATACAAAGACCTACAGTACAACTGTATTATAAGTGAGGTGGTTGATCCTGGAATGCTGTGTTTCAGCATGATGCCTGTGTAGTACACTACAATGTAATTGTGTAGTGGCAAAGATTCTCAGCCTTAACTGATAACCTGGGCCTCTCAGATTTATCATAAGGACGACTAGGTTAAACTAAAGATGCATGGTATTTTTAATTTATTACTTAATTGTGGAACTTTGCTCTGAATTAGCTCCATTTACACAAGTCAAGGGACCTGCACCCACTGTTTTCAATCCTAAGATTTGGTGACAGTACAAGAGTCAAGTGAGACGTGCTTAGACTATAAATCTGCATAGTTTTACAAGTATATTGAGGGATCAAGATAACTCACAGACCAACAGTCATCAATAAATAAAACTGCATTGTTATTAAATCTGTCTTATAATAAATATGGAGAATCTTCCAATATCTCTGACAGTAAAGTTGTACATCAACAAACTTAACTAAACTTCTGAATCCTCCCACAGACACACTCACTCAAAGGGTCTACATCTTCCCCACTTATTTATGTACAGTATTTTCCTTCTACTATATAATGCTCTGTATAAATAAAACTAAACACATATCACAGAGAAAGTTACTAAAACATGTGCATCACCTAATAGATACAGAGATGCAAGTTATACAAGGATACAAAATACAGTACACACATTCAGGTTCATTTACTCCCTTTGTTATCTTTAAGTCTCACTACATTGTTCCTCATTATTATATTTTACCTCTACATCACCCTAAAAAAGATTCTGTCGGCTACAAATGTTTTATAAGTTCCTGGAATTTCATAAACTCGTCTTAGTTCCAACCATCATCCATCTGCCTGTGTGCCCATTCATCTCTCTCTCTCTCTCTCTCTCTCTTCTAAATCTAAGAACCCAAAGCTAAAACCATCAGCAGCATCATCATCATCAGCAGCAGCAGCAAGCTAAAAGGTTCATGCAGGAAGGCTTTAGTTAACTTGCCTGCCTAAGACATACTCATGCACTTCTGTCTAATGGGACGAAAGACTTAGTGTGTGGGTAGAGGAAGAGGTGAATGGATAATGTATTGGCTGGCTAATGGTAAGGTAAATATGTGATAATAATTTATGGTGAATATTCTTCTGCTGATGGTAAATGAGATGGTAAATCTGACAGTGTCATAGGAAATTTTACAGATGATTGTGTATCGAGGTGATGAATCATTGGAAGCTTATTTTTGTTGTTGATGTAAAGGTAACTTGATGAGACTAACAGGATAATGGAAACTCTCATGGATGTGAGAATGAGATATGGTACCTCCTGGGAAGGGAAAATAATGGTGACATTAAGCAAGAGGAAGAGGGGTATGACCAAAGAGGGAGAGGGGTATGATCTAAGAGGGAAATGAGTATGATCTATGTGGGGAGGAATATGACCTTACAGTGAAAAGGTATGACCTAAGTGGGAGACGCGCATGACCTAGAAGGGGAGAGGGGTGTCACAATGGTTGGAGAGGGATGACCCTATCAAGGGATGACCTGAGAGGGAAAGTTATGAGGGTATGACCTACGAGACAGAGAAGGGGAGGAGGTGAGGGGCACTAGGGAGACTGGGTTAAACTAGGGGCAATATAGGGTGGCTAGGGAGAGATGGGGAGGAGTCTTTACCTGCAGTCCCACCTCGGTCTCGGCCAATTCTTCAGTCTGAGGGTTGGTGGAAGCTGTGTCATGGTCCCCCTCTGTGGACAGGTCTAGGAGTCCCGGGTCCTCATGACCGGACAGGTCTTCAGTACAGGACCCAGGACCCGGGTTCTCGTCGCCAGACCTGTCGTCAAGGTGACAATCACGCAATGCAGCGACCACTACCTCATTCAGCCTGTCATAGAGTGCACTGCTCTCTGGGAAGGGGTCCTGGGGAGACTCCGGGAGGTTGTCTCCGAGGATCTCCTGGCCACCTGCATCACTGTGCATGCTGTTACTGCTGTGAATGCTGTTGTTACTGCTGTTACTGATGCTATCTGGTGCTGGGTGCTGTTCTTGTGCTGTGTCCTGCTGTGCTTCATAAGACAGGTCGAGGTGGTGGTTGAGGAGACGAGGGGATGCTGAGCTTACCTCATGTGTGGGAGTGCCGAGTTCCTGGTCATTCTCGGCGCTCACGTCTGCTGATGGACCAGTGCGCTGATCTAGTGGTCTCGGCTGCTGGTCTGGACCATTACTCTGCTGCTCTACGTCCTCGTTGTGAAGTTCCGGATTGGCGTTGTGATGCTCCGAGTCATTGTTATGAAGTTCCCCAGGGTTGTTTTGGACTTCAGGGGAGTTGTTATGAAGCTCTGAACCAGATGTATGATGCTCCAAGCTATTGTTAAGGTGATCTGGATCATCATTAAGGAGGTCTGAGCTGGGCGGCGGCGGCAGTGGCGGCTGCTGCTGCTGATCACCACCCTCTGCCAGTGACTGATCTTCACCATACTCAGCAGCCAGACGCAGGCCCACATAACTGTTACCTTGTTGTCGCTTTAGGTGGTACTCCAAGTCGAGAAAATCGTCCCCACGCCCACCTTGTTCTTTGAAGAACTCTTCTAAAACTTTTCTAGTCTCCGACATTTCATAGGAATAATCATACATGTCAGTATCTAAGGTGGTGGGGTTGGGCTGTGTGGTGAGATTCTCTGAGTAGGAGGACGTCAGGGTGGATATGGCTATGACTGGCGGCGCCGGCGACACACTGTCCGCCTCCGAACATGAGTCAGGCCCAGGTAGGTCACTGCTGGGGTCCTCCTGGGGTGTAACATCTCTCTCATCCCCCTGGGGAGCATTGGCCTCACTAGAGGTTGCCGTTAGGGGTTCACACGAGGATTCCCTGGCAGCCTCCTCCTCTGCCAGGACCCGGCGCGGGAAGCCAGGTCGCGGGGGTCGTGGGGGCGGTGCATGGTGTCCCCCCCGGGGGCTATGGGTCCTGGGGGAGGGCCGAGGACCGTACCGCCGGGGGGATCCTTCATACTCAGCGATGGGCACATTACCAATCTTGGTGACCTTGTGTGTGGTAGATTCTTGAGTGGAGTCAGAATCAGAAGGCGAAGTTGATCGTTCATAAGCGGCCAGGTAGCCGTGGTCACCGTGCTCGGCGGGGTCCACTGGGAGCTCAGCCGTGGGTGAGGAAGGGGTGCCCGGTCGGTCATCGAGTGCCCGCACAGTCAGGCCACGGGCCACCCACTCCCCGATGTCATCAAATACCACTTCGGACGACCCCGTGAGCCGCGTCTCGTACACAAGCGGGGACTCTCGGACTGAGCAGCCATGATTCCGCTCTTCACTGTCCCCAGGAGATTCCGGCCAGTTCTGCTCCTGCTGCTGCCGCTCCTGCTGGTACTGCTGGTGCTGTGGCTGCTGCCCTCTCCGCCGCTGCGACTCATCATGTCTACGGCGTGCAGGCCGTGACCTGCTATGACTAAACACCTCCCGGCCGCCGGCGATCTCGATGCGTGAGTCTCTGAGACGGAAGTGTTCCCGGCGCTGCGGTTGGTGCCGGGTGGTGGTGGTGGTGGTGGTGGGGGGAGGCTGTGGTGCCTCCTCGTATGACGAGTCTAACACTGACGACCTCATGTACCTGTCCTCATAGTCGTCATAAGCACTAACAACTGACACGTCCATGTCCATGTCTACATCCTCAGCACTGCGCTCCATCTTGGACTCTGAGTGTGAGTCTGACCTGGAGCCCGGCGTGGAGCCTGAACGGGAGCCCGACCCACTGTCCACGGACATACGCCCGCTACTGCCGCTGTCACGACTTAACTTAGAGTTGTCGTAGAGCCTGGGCAGATCACCAGTAGTGTGCAGGGGTTCGTAGTTATCGTTGTCGTCAGAGTCGAGGACACAGTTGAGGTTGAGGTCGGAGCGGCGGGCGTCAGTGGGCGTGGTGGTGGGTGTGTTGGTGGCGGAGCGAGGCCGGCACTTGGGGAACAGACGGCTGATCTCCGAGTCCGACCCCTCCACGGCCTCCAGCGGCTCCCCCATGACGCACCTCCTCACCAATCTGCAACACCACGCCATGTTAGTACACCGCCAGGCACCACCATCATACTACCACACACACACAATACCAGTACCACACATAATCATCTACAACACTACCACACAACGTCACACCACACACAAACAAACACACACAATACCAGTACCACACATAATCATCTACAACACTACCACACAACGTCACACCACACACAAACACACACAATACCAGTACCACACAATCATCTACAACACTACCACACAACGTCACACCACACACAAACACACATACACAATACCAGTACCACATCATCATCTACAACACTACCACACAACGCTATACCACACATATACATACACACATTCTCACCCCCACCACACAACACTCCACAACTAATATTCCTGGTCGACCACCACCAACTCTACCACACACTAACCACACCAATACCCTCACAAAACATCACTGTCATGCCTATACTCCACAACACCACTACAAAATAACCACACTTACACTTAAATCTACTTATTACTAGGACATTAATGACTACCACACACACACACACACTATCAACACCACAACAACCACAGTCACCACTACCACATACTACGAAATACATTACTAAATACACACACCTTACCACAACTACTGTATTATGACGTCATTCTTACTACTAAACCCTTTGAGGACGATGGCTTAGCCCTTTGAAGACGATGATTTAACCCCTTGACGGCTTAACCCTTTGAGGACGATGGCTTAGCCCTTTTAACTACGGCAGTTTAACACTGAGGTTGATGATTTAATCCTTAAAGGACGATGGTTTATCAGTTTGAGGACGATGGCTTTAACCCCTTGACGAGGATGGCTTAACCCTTTGAGGACGATGGCTTAGCCCTTTTAACTACGGCAGTTTAACACTGAGGTTGATGATTTAATCCTTAAAGGACGATGGTTTATCAGTTTGAGGACGATGGCTTAGCCCTTTGAAGACGATGGTTTAACCCCTTGACGAGGATGGCTTAACCCTTTGAGGACGATGGCTTAGCCCTTTTAACTACGGCAGTTTAACACTGAGGTTGATGATTTAATCCTTAAAGGACGATGGTTTATCAGTTTGAGGACGATGGCTTAGCCCTTTGAAGACGATGGTTTAACCCCTTGACGAGGATGGCTTAACCCTTTGAGGACGATGGCTTAGCCCTTTGAAGACGATGATTTAACCCCTTGACGAGGATGGCTTAACCCTTTGATGGCGACGGATTAGCCCTTTGACGAGGATGGCTTAACACTTTGAAGACGATGGCCTAACCCTTTGATGAGGACGATGGTTTAACCTTTTGAGCACGATGGCTTAGCCCTTTGATGAGGATGACTTAACCCTTTGATGAGGATGGCTTAACCCTTTGATGAGGATGGCTTAACCCTTTGATGAGGATGGCTTAAACCTTTGACGACGATGACTTAACCCTTTGACGACGATGGCTTAACCATTTGAGGACGATGGCTTAACACTTTGACGTCGATGGCTTAACCTTTTGATGAGGGTGGCTTAAACCTTTGACGACGATGACTTAACACTTTGACGACGATGGCTTAACACTTTGACGACGATGGCTTAACACTTTGACGTCGATGGCTTAACACTTTGACGTCGATGGCTTAACACTTTGACGTCGATGGCTTAACCCTTTGATGGCGACGGATTAGCCCTTTGACGAGGATGGCTTAACACTTTGAAGACGATGGCCTAACCCTTTGATGAGGACGATGGTTTAACCTTTTGAGCACGATGGCTTAGCCCTTTGATGAGGATGACTTAACCCTTTGACGATGATGACTTAACCCTTTGATGAGGATGGCTTAACCCTTTGATGAGGATGGCTTAACCCTTTGATGAGGATGGCTTAAACCTTTGACGACGATGACTTAACCCTTTGACGACGATGGCTAAACCATTTGAGGACGATGGCTTAACACTTTGACGTCGATGGCTTAACCCTTTGATGAGGATGGCTTAACCTTTTGATGAGGGTGGCTTAAACCTTTGACGACGATGACTTAACCATTTGACGACGATGGCTTAACCATTTGAGGACGATGACTTAACCTTTGGATGAGGGTGGCTTAAACCTTTGACGACGATGACTTAACACTTTGACGACGATGGCTTAACACTTTGACGACGATGGCTTAAACACTTTGACGTCGATGGCTACCACTTTGACGTCGATGGCTTAACCTTTACGCTTCGATGGCTTAACCCTTTGGACGTCGATGGTTGAACTTTTGACGTCGATGGCTTAACCCTTGACGTCGATGGCTTAACCTCGACGTCGATGGCTTAACCCTTTGACGTCGATGGCTTAACCCTTTGATCGTCGATGGTTTGAATCCCTTGACGTCGATGGCTGAACTGACGTCGATGTTTAACCCTTGACGACGATGGCTTAAACACTTTGGACGTCGATGACTTAACACTTTGACGACGATGGCTTTCAATACTTTGACGACGATGGTTGAACACTTTACGCTTCATGGCTTAACACTTTGACGTCGATTATTTAACACTTTGACGTCGATGGCTTAACCTTGACGTCGATGGCTAATTTTGATGCTCGATGGTTTAACCTTGACGTCGATGGCTTAACCCTTTTGGATGTCGATGACTTAACCCTTTGACGACGATGGCTTAACACATTGACGACGATGGCTTAACACTTTGACGTTGAAGGCTTAACCCTTTGACGACGATGGCTTAACCCTTTGACGACGATGGCTTAACCATTTGAGGACGATGGCTTAACCTTTTGATGAGGGTGGCTTAAACCTTTGACGACGATGACTTAACCCTTTGAGGACGATGGCTTAACACTTTGACGTCGATGGCTTAACACTTTGACGTCGATGGCTTAACACTTTGACGTCGATGGCTTAAACCTTTGACGTCGATGGCTTAGCATTTTGAGGACGATGGTTTAGAAACTTTTGTCCTAATAGAATTTTAAGGGGAATTTACTTATGCCTATATTGCCTAATTAAATGACATGATTTAGTGAGTATAGAAACGGGTTAAGTTTATGACATGATTTAGTGGGTATAGAAACAGGTTAAGTTGATGACATGATTTAGTGAGTATAGAAACAGGTTAAGTTGATGACATGATTTAGTGAGTATAGAAACAGGTTAAGTTTATGACATGATTTAGTGAGTATAGAAACGGGTTAAGCTATGACATGATTTATATATAGGAAACAGTTGGAAAGCTATGACATATGATTTAGTATATAGAAAACAGGTTAAGTTTATGACATGATTTAGTGAGTATAGAAAGAAAAGGTTACATTACAGATTTAGTGAGTAGAAACAGGTTAAGTTTATGGACATGATTTAGTGAGTATAGGTTATGTTGTTGATGACATGATTTAGTGAGTACAGAAACCAAGGTGTTTATACATGATTTAGTGGGTATAGAAACGGAAGGTTTGCGACATGATTTAGTGAGTATAGAAACGTAAGTTAAGTTTATGACATGATTTAGTGAGTATAGAAACGGGGTTGCTTATGACATGATTTAGTGAGTATAGAAACAGGTTAAGTTTATGACATGATTTAGTGAGTATAGAAACAGGTTAAGTTTATATTAAGATTTAGTGAGTATAGAAACGAAGTTTTGCTTTTATGAGCATGATTTAGTGAGTATAGGAAACGGGAAGTAAGTTTTATATATGATTTAGTAAGTAGAAAACGGGGTTAAGTTTATGACATGATTATGTATATAGAAACGGGTTAAGTTACACATGATTTAGTGAGTATAGAAACGGGTTAAGTTTATGACATGATTTAGTGAGTATAGAAACAGGTTAAGTTTATGACATGATTTAGTGGGTATTGAAACAGGTTAAGTTGATGACATGATTTAGTGAGTATAGAAACAGGTTAAGTTTATGACATGATTTAGTGAGTATAGAAACAGGTTAAGTTTATGACATGATTTAGTGAGTATAGAAACAGGTTAAGTTTATGACATGATTTAGTGAGTATAGAAACAGGTTAAGTTGATGACATGATTTAGTGAGTATAGAAACAGGTTAAGTTTATGACATGATTTAGTGAGTATAGAAACAGGTTAAGTTGATGACATGATTTAGTGAGTATAGAAACAGGTTAAGTTTATGACACATTAAGTTTGAGATACATGTCTCTCATCTCATGGCTCGTGTGTGTGTGTGTGTGTGTATTTCATAAAAGTTTTTTAATATATTTCATTGTTTCAGAGACAATCAAGACCTCAGACTTACGATCAAATATACCATTAAGAAATGATATCTGGTGAAGATGTTTGACCAAAAGTGATATAAATGGGAAGCTTTCAGCCCACTACTCAACAAAAAATAATAATAATAATAATAATAATAATAATAATAATAATAATAATAATAATAACAACAACTTGCACCTGAAACACCTGAGCACCAATAAACCACCTGTAGTGCAATTTGTTTTCGTCATCCCTACACACCAAGTTTCCAAAACCGTCTTTATCATTATATTTCGTTTCTTGAAGTGTGTTGCCCCCCCCCCCTCCCCCTTCACTAACTGCAAGTTATCCAATTTATTAGTTTAACAATCTCATATTTAACCGAATTACTCTGACCTAATATAACCTTACCAATTGTACGTCAAGGGCTCGATAGGCACACAAACACTTTTCCCAGGAATTTATAAACCCTGACTCAGTTAACAATGAAACAAATAAATAAATAGTGAAAAACCTGACTAGTTTGTCCTTGTAGAAACCTAACTTGACCGTCTCGTGTGCACAACTAACGGTTCCACACCTCACCTCACCTCACTCCAACAAAAGCAGTTATTTTCCACACTAATAAAAATGTATCTATATATTTACAAATGATTCTCTAAATTAAATCAAATTTATAACAGTTCTTTTAAAATTACAATGCTGAAAATTCAACATAAGAAATTCAACGCTTATTATACTGTGAAATTAACACATCAAAGAAAAT